TGCTTGTGGCCTAGGCACGTGTCCGTCATCACAAAGTTGCCTCAGCATCAGAGAACTTGGATACAAGAAGAGACGGCTCAAGCTTTCATGCAATGAGCACCCCGCTCGCAGCATCAAAGACTGGCGCTTACTAACATCCGACTATCTTGTTTTGAAACACATGTGCTCTTACTCTCCCGCTTATCCAACTAGAATTACTATGTGATGCGCCCAACAGCATAACAAGTATAGACTGGACTCACCAAAGTTGGCAAACAAACACTCCAGTTTGTTCTTCTTTTTGACAGCGTTTTGCTACGTCGCAAGTAGGCTAAAATGTAGATTTTGCCACTCAAGTCGGGCTTAGAAAACATGGTGATTTTCACTCTCAGGGGCTTAAACTCGGCAATCACCCAATAATTGTTTCAATTTCAAGTACACTCCAACCTTCAGCACAAGCATTCACCCGGTAGTTTAGTATACATAACAGTTAAGCCTCATGCCAAGCATGCTATTATGGCAGTCACTCCACACACATGCAAGGTGCCCTAAGCGATAAACACTTACTGAGTACACTGAGCCAAAACAAAGCTATATTAGACAAAATCAATGTATCGCATCTAGCCTCCACTGTAAGAGTGCCCGTAATGCAAAACATACAAAATGCCAACAAAGATAGGCTCGGCTATCTAAACGCATGTGAACTATGCATTTGATACATCTTGTATTCAAACAGGACATTCAAAATTACAATGAGTTAGTATTAATGCAGCCGAGCTCAGTGCACTCGCCACAGACCAGATGATGGAATGCGAACATACGAGATAAGGATGCTAATTGAAACATGCCTAAAACTAACATCGTAGCTAGTAACTAAAAGGAAGAAAGAGTCAGGGTTTCCTAAATTTCTCAAAAATAAAATATTTAGGTGGCGACTCTGCATCTGGCGAAGCAGTTCATGTTTGGCACTTCTTTCTAAAAATTAATTTTTCTAAATGATTTGTCGGATTTGGACTCTTTGGTGATTTATCAATCTCGTATTGCACTTTGCAAGATCAGATTAAGAACCATGACATTGAGTCCGAATTGTAGTAAGCCCAATGAACAAAACGGGATTTTCCCGGGATGTTCGGGCGCGTCCACAGTTGCTGGTGACTCCGTTGGGGAGTTAGAGAACTTGACTCAAACTCATGATGTCTTGCTTTGATTACACTTATGTGTTTCTTTGCATTGTATGTGCATTGGTGTGCCTAGGACATCGTGTTTGCCATCTGCTATTCCTGAACGGTCTGCCGGAGGCTCGCTTTAAGAAGCGTGTTTCTTTGCATTGCATGTGCATTGGTACGCCTAGGACACTGTGTCTGCCAGCTGCTATTCCTAAACGGTCTGTCGGAGGCTCACTTTGAGAATCGTGCCATAAGGCTGACCGGTTATGTGCTCTGCCACGATGGGAACACAAACCCTGGTTTTTACCGGGGCACCCTTTTTGACCATTCGACCTAGTGCATATTCGGAATCCATAGTGACCATCCCAAACTAGGACAGGTTGCTTACCCGATTATAGGTTGTTTGAAACCGCTGTGTGCGTAGTGAAACCCTAGCTCCTAACAAAATAGGACAGGGAAACCCTACCCCTCCATAGGGGTGTTTTGGCTCTCATTTGCTTGCTATGTGCTTTTTAGAGTGCGTCTCTACAGGAATGCGTGTATCAGTCTGCAAATCTGGGTATCAGGCCTGCGAGCATCAGTGTTTTAAGAATCAGTTATATCTGCGGGTATCAGATTCAGATTCGGGGCAGTGATTTGGGAATAGTGACCAGTGGTTGATAACGGTTCATTCAACATATGTTTGCCAGCTGTGTGTTGTCTTTACTTTGTTATGCTGCCCGTTTTTCTGTTCATTATTTCCTTATTATGCTTTATTTATCTTTTTGCTAGGTGGTGTAGCACAATTGCTTCCGACCAAGCAGATATTCCCTAAGCACTCTGGACTAGAGGTCGTAGACTCCATCGATCTGAGGATCTAATAGACGGACAACCAGCGTTCCATTCATTACCCCCGGTTGCTAGATAGAGGTCAGTAAGGCGTAATGTATCGATACTGTGGTTGCCAGATGTAAACACCCCATTTTTGACCGTCCTCAAGACTCGGACGTCACCGCTTGGAACACTTGGTGATTATCCATGTTTGTGTTCGTTTGGAGTTCCCGGAGGTCTCGGCTACGCGCCTTGCCTCAGGATCTCCGAACTCGATCGTTTAGTGTCTGGTTTTGCACCAAACACTTGCATTTTGCCTTGGAAGGGCAGGGAATGCCTTGTGAGGCATCCCCATACACCACCGGCAGTGGCTAGAGGCCACCGGCTGGTTTTTGCTGCCACCGACAATGTATATTGCCGGCCGGCACTATTTGTTGCCGGTCAGCACTATTTAGTGCCGGTCGGCACTCTTTTTTGCCAAAATGGCATCTTTGGCCGGCCGACTACTGTGCATCTTCTTTTGCAGATATTTTAAGACAGCTGTCTTGCTTTTTGCTCCCCTCCATACACGTGTATGGAGGGATCTCCCTCTTATGAAGCTTGTCTTGTAAGCTTTACAAGACAAAAAGCTCCATAAGAGAGAGCCTTGTCTCTTGTTGCAAGGGTTGGAGACTTTAGAGATTTTTAGAGACAAAAAACATAGAGAGAAGCTCTGGTTTTAGGGTTAGGGTTCATACATATCTCCCATCTCTCTTTTTCTCTCTTTGTGCTCTAGGTGTTTTAGTTCATACTATTGCACACAAACACCTAGTGTTTCACCTTTGTTTGGCTCCTGAGGTTCTAAGGGGCTGATTTTGGTGTTTTGGTGTTGGATTCAAGCCAAGGAAGGCCATTGGAGCATCATTGTTGAAGAGGTCTTCAAGGGTAAGAATCTCACCCCTTTATTCCCCATTTTTGCATCTTATTTCTACCTATCTTAAAATCGTTTTTGAGCTTAGTGTATAGTACAAAAAATTTCTGTTTTTAGACCCTCTTGATTGTTTATTAAGGGTGTTTTGTGGTTTGAGGGTGTTTGACCCCTCTTAGGCCTTGAAAGGCCCCATTTTGTGCTATTTTGTGCAAGTTTCGAGACTTTGGTGTTTGGGCCTTTTCACCACTGAAATCTTCAGGGATTTCAGTGGTGAAATGGTGCCTTGAAGTCTCTAAAAGGAGAGGGCCACCCCCTCTCCTTGTTGTCCTTGAAAAGGGCATGTTTTGGCCTCTAAAGGGAGCCTATGTTTGAGTGTGTGTTGAGCATGTATAGGCTGTTTTCCATGCTTATATTTCCATAATATAACATGATTTTAAATTGGTTTTGGTACTCCATGCATGCTTAGCATAGTTGCCATGTAATGCCTTGTGATTCCTTAACATGTCTTAGGTCGTGTGCCTTTGTTTCTAGCATGTTTTAGGCTTACATTTGTGAAGATTTTGTGCTTATCTTAACATGTTTTAGGTCTATCCATAAGTGTTTGGGTTGATTTTGGCATGCTTGGTATAGCTCCTTTGTATTTGGGCTTGTTGGCCTTGAGCATATGAATGTATAGCATGACATCTTTGCATTGATTTGGTGATTTGGGGTCACCTTATATGTTATTTCAGTCCCATTTTCATGCCTATGTGTTTGCCTTGAATGCATCTTTAATGCCTCATAAGCTTGTGTAGTAATGCTCCTTGTTTTGGCACTTGTGCATGCCTCTAAATTTGAGCCACTTAGATGCCATCTAAGTAGTCCTTTAGCCTTGTTTTAACATGCTAAAAACCTGTTTTTAGTTGCTTAATGCATGCCATGTTTGTTGTGATAAAGTGTAGTTCAATACTCCATTCACGCCATATCATGCACACATCATAAATATAGCATGCTAGGGGCCTCGAAACTCAAGACTAGTGAAGTCATTTACACTATAGCTATACAAAGCAAGCCCCCAAAAGGCCAAGAACACTCAAAAAAGTCCTAAAGCATGTCAAAATAATACCAAAACATGCACGGAGTATAGCCCAGACAAGCTAGAATGAAAGGCCAAAACACCAAGTACACTAGGTTGAGGAGCATGATTGCACTACAAGTGCAAGAACCAAGCAAGAGGTGATCCAACCAACTAAAATTAGAGTGGAAGCATGTTAAATAATGGCCAAAAACATGCTGGAGTGGAGCCAATACATGCTGACCCAAGACAATTTTGGTAGTATGTTATTCTGCAGTCAATATTGAATTAACCAATTTTTTCAACCTAAAGAGGCAGCAATCCCACCAGCCACAAGTCCTACAACTGTTGCAGTGATGCCTATTCCAATAAGCCCATCTACACACCACCACCAACAACAACAACAAAAAAAAAAAGAAATGTATTTTCAGTTTCTTTAAGATCTGAAAAATTGATAAAGAGAAGTATCGTCATCACCTTTAGTGATTTGATCATCAAGAGTCTTCTTGAGGGTCAAAGCTTGCATCCAATCAGGTGCAATCTGCAACACATGAAATACGTATGTGATTTCCCATGCATGAGAAATTTTCTATAATTATAGACTGTTAAATTAAAGTCAATATATAATTAATAAGCCAGAAAGAAAAATTACTTAAAAAAAAGAGAGAAAAAGAGTTCATTTAGATGTACATTGTCTATGTTATGGTAGTAATCAATAATTAGGTGATTTGAAGATTATTTGAGTGGATGAAGGAATTTAAAATGAGCCGGAGATTAGACAGATCAAAATATAACTCTGTCATAGCATTTCAATGATGAATTGCCCTTCAGATCCATGATAAAAAGTCATTGTGAAAAACATCAAATTATCAAAACTAGTAACAGGAAATGCAAGTCATGTCATTTCTTTCAAATTATTGTATTATTATTATTTTGTTTGAGTATCATTTGTTTGAAATTATAATCTGAAAGATAATCAATCACACATCACACAAAGTAAAATCATGTAGGTATGAAAAAGAACCTGAAAAGAAAATTGCAATACTAGGTACAAATTCTGATAAGATACAGGAAAGGGAAAAAAAACCTCTAAACATTGTTCTGCAAGCTGCCTGCTCCTTCGATATTCACCACTTCTGTAATACCCAACAACAAGAAGATAAAGCTTTTCCCTCTTTTGCAATGGGCTGCCACTATTGGCTAATGAGGCTGCCAAAGAAGAATTGTTCAGTTTCTGACAAGGGCTGAAATTTCATATACAAAATCACAAGTAAACGCTCAGAATTTCAAAGCAATACAAATATGGTAAGTCAACTGCATCTATTCTGTGCAGCTTCCAACATCAATAGAAACTTAAAACACAAAGGTGCAATGAAAAATTATAGAAAAGCAGCAATAGCATAAACAAAACTAATCATGACTCCATAGGGAACGATGGTGATTACTTCAGATACAAAAGTTACTGTTTACAAACTCTTTACAGAAGGGGTCAGCACCAAGTCCGCAACTTTGAGGTTTGCTACGTTGAGCTAATAATTTGAATTTTTCAAGCATAAACAAGTATGGAGCACAAAATGCAGTAAACTTTTGATGGCCCCTAAACTAATCATCCAAAAATGTGTATACAACATGCAACTTTTAGCAAGTGCACTGGCTGTTAAGTTCCTTTTTTTCTCCATTTTTCCATGAATAAAGAAACAAATCAAGTTAAAAAATACAAAAAGAGACACAACAATGCACACGCATGCACATACAAGATCAGGGTGAGGTGATAGTTACAGTGAAGATTGGTGGCAAAGAGAGTAAAATAAAAGTGTAAACAACAGGAGGATGTTAAATGGAATAAGTGGAATAATTAAACAAGATTGAAATCACAATCGTATGAGAACTATAAACTCCTTGTTGTAAAGAAAAATTATTTAGTACTGAATTTATTGGTTCTGACCTTCAAGCATAGCTATCCCATGCTGCATGTCTTCTGGTTGTTTGGAATGAACAAGAGCCCATGATAACCGTATAATTCTCTCACTCTTTAGTTCATCTGAGACACCATATGCAGCCTCTGAAACTTCTCTCTCACAGCCCTACACACGAAAGACTTCAGAGCATAGACAAAAGTGTGGAAGAACCAGAGAAAATTTCATATACATGGATAGTGCCACTGCCACAGCAGCATTTGATGCCTTGGGGGTTATGTCTTTATTGTCATGAAATAAAATATTAATAATAGCAAAGTGCGGTGGATTTCTACATCTTTTCTGAAGCAGGAAAAAACGTAGTTCAATCACAAACAAGAGTTAATGCTGGCAATAGAATCTGATATGGTTCTGAAGATTTAAAAAACTACTTGACAAAACAATCACATCGACTTAGACTCATTTTCAGTGCTTATTCCAATCATTTTTTTTTTTGTATCAGCAATAAGGATAACAAAATATCTCTAAGCACGGATGAGATTAACAATATCTTCCAGTAATGCTGTTACACTCTAATCAACAAGAAAACTTATTGAGCATATATTCTCCTGTATAGTGGTCAGCATCCAAATGAAAAAACATAATAGCTACAAATAGAAAATCATTACAAGGCTTGACATGGGCAGAACAATTCAACCAAGGACTGCAGGGAATGTTGCTCAAAAGATGGAAAACCAAATATCGTAGACATAACACACTTTCATTGCTTGATTGCCACTAAGTTTGCATTGAGAAGAGAAATAAAAGAAAAAACTAATTTTGGGACAGAAATTCCAACCACAACCCCAGTGAATTTTACAGAAGATAACAGATTTAAATTTATCATCATCCACCCCAAGTTGATATTACTCAACATATCATATTCAACAGGCACAAAACAACTTATAATTCTCAAAATACAAATTAAAACAATCTCCTTTCTTCCCCTCTGCCCCGAAGAGTAACTAGCGCCAATCTAGTCATGTTTTTCATGTTCCAATTGAACACTCTCCATTTTTCTTTTTGATTCTAAAAAATCGTGTGGCCCTATTCATCAAGTGGCAAATGTAACCCAACAGCTACAAACAAGTTAACAAATTAACACATACCCAAAATCTAAATAATTTTTCTCCAATTGTGACCCCACAAATTTACAAAGCACATAGAAATAGAAAGAATTCTTCCATAAATGATAAGTGGCAGTTGCCAATTGGTACTGTTCCCATTAAACTGTACAAAACTAAGCTATTCTATTACATTTGGTGTAAACACTGTCACGTTTTTGTTCTTTTCCAAGAATGCCCTTTAACTGTCAATAAGTTCCGAACAATTTTTTCATTCATCAAATTGCCTAAAAACTATTAAAAAACGGTTTTTCTCATTCATCAAATTGCCCCTCAATCATATAACCATCCAAAATTTTATATTTAAAATTGGAAGCACATGCATTTGCACTCACCACTAGTAATAACATATGCACATGAACACTGTCCATCAAAACTAGCCACAAAAAACAATTAGATTCTGCCGCTGACCAAGGTGACAAGATGCATTTTGGAATAGCGCAAAACCTTTAGGGTTGTAAACAATAACAAGTGCCACTAATCAATGGGCAAAACATGTAGGCATCAATAGTTACACATGCAAACTCCCAAAGGAAAAAAATAAATATAGATTGCCACAGGGGATTTCTGAAACTAGCTATGGTTAACTATGAATAGGGCCCAAAATTTCTAGGTTGAGCTGGAGGCAAGGAGAACCTTAATAAGGGCAACAAAGCCTCGTCTATCTATCTAGAAAAGATGCGGGCTGAGAAACATCCTCGCGATAAATGTGTATCAAGAAAAGATGTGAAGTGAGAAACTTACTTAAGATATGTGTGTGTATGTATATTACACCTTAATCCACCACTCTTTATCTATTACTCTAGTAAATTGTACACCTTAGTCAAACACTCCACTTAAATGTTAAATTATGCACCAATTCTCTAATGCTCAACAAAGTTAAAGGGTCAAACTGAACCGAATTCAACAGAAGACCAACGCAGTAAATAGTTCTCGCCATTGCACAAAATAATATTGGAATAAGATGGGCCATAGAACTCTCATCGAGCGTAATATTGGAATGACGATGAATTCACAATACCACTAGGTCAGCATCTTATTTTAAGTTATAATAACGACATTATGGCAAGATCATAATTGCATATAGTCACACAAGTATTTAAAAAGTCCAAATATGAATGTGTGCCCTCTGTATAGAAAACAGGATCACGCAAATAAACAACTAAAAAGGATTTTGATACAAACCTTCTTGGCTGGAGCAGCTTCTATTGGAGCACCTTGGCCGGCTTTTCTCACACCAGCAGCTTTTCCAGGGAAGCTACAAAATTTAAAAATAATATGTGAGATGAAACAATGTAAGGTCTGAAAGGGACATCCCAAATCCCAATAAGAAAAAAAATGAAAATGCAATGCACAAGGGACATGTTGATACAGTTTGAACAGGCACTCGATAAAAACAAAAATGCACACAACATTTCATTTCACGTACCTAACAGACTAACACTAAAGATGCAGTTAAAAGTGCCCTTTCAATGAAGCGGGCTCTACTCCCCACATGTTCAAAATAACTTGGGGCATCTCCAATCATTTATCAATTCACAATTAATGAAAAAATGGTTTTAAAACGTAGAAGTTAGTGGGTGTGGATGGTGCCACCAGGTTCAACCAATCACAAATGACTATTCCCATGTTGTCACCCACATATGATAGACCCTAGTGGTGTCTTAACCAATCACAATTAAGGAAGCATCAAGTGCCAATGTCCTCTCAGGTATGCAACAATGAGCTCCAATACTTACATCAAACTTCTACAAATCAAGGATGAAGCAAATCCTTTATCATATAATTTTTTTTAATTGGTTAACTATGTTTTTGGGGATAAGTTGAGAATTTTTTATAAATATTTTATGAAAAAAATCATGAGTAACAGATTATAGTGCTCCCTACCAAATCAAGGTTTCAACTAAATTTTCACTCAAAACAATGGAAAAAAAATACAATTACAAGGATTAGTGATAGCCTTACAAAGGCTGGACTGTGAAGATAACAGCAAACCACATGGGTCTTCATATATATATATATATATATATACATAAAACTATGGTTGGGATTTGATCATAAATTACTGTATCATATAATTTCTTTTATAGACCAACTAAAATTTCCTTCGATTAATGGAACACTTGCCCCGGCAAGTCTATACAATTGATATGTTAATGATTATTTTGTTATTCATATGCAAAAATGCATATAATTTTAACTGACCTTGTCACATAGGAGTGATCAAACTTATGATTAATGGGTTGGACAATGAGTGCACCATATCCAGCCCAATTCAGCAAACAAAGAAAAACTAAGAACCAAGCCTACACCCACATCAAAGCTATACAAGCACACCACAATAAGAATGCTTCCATTCAAGGTGCCATAACCCAGAACAATCCTTAATAGATTTCAGTCTATACACCAAGTCCATAACAGAGTAATCAACTTGCTTCATATTATACTTGAACAACAAAGCCAATCTCACTTTGATCAACTCACTCAACTCCAATTAATTAAGCTGAGCCTTCCAAGCTCTACAAGTATGATGGATATTGGATAGACAAACACTTGAAAAGCAAATGTTCAACTGATTAATTTAGTAGCAATTGAAGAAATTCTTCAAAGGCCATATAAAACACAAATAATTAAATACATAAATATATGTACTACTTCATGAAATCAACCACATATAAAACTGCTGATTAAAAAAATAATGAAAACATAAAACAATTACAAAACTTTGAAAATGAAAACAATACTATGATATGCAAAATTTTAGGTTATATGGAAGTTACTCTATAAAACCCATTTGTGGGAGTAACAGTTACAATTTGCACTGTAAACTCATTTGAGGGAGTAACAATTTTAGAATTGCGCAATTAATAATTTTACTTTGATTTTCATTGAGTGAGCCAAATTGATAGTAAATCTTCCAAAAAGAAATTAATCAAAATTTTCTGTTTGATGAATCTATTCCTATGTTATTTCTCATAAGAACAGAGAATTTGTTTGGGAAACAAAATTTGAAAATATGAGTTAGATGTTTCGGCACATGTCATGCATATCCGACATATACTGTTTGTTAATGTGAAATTTCTTATGTCCAGTTAGACTAGTTGTCGAAAGGCGGGTTCATTATCATTATTTTAACTATTTGTTTATGCTATGAAAGGTATAACAGAGGATGATTTGGGATGACATTGCTGATTCTAGATACAATCAAAGAGAGAGAGAAAGAGCCAATAGTTGGATTACAAATTTTGAACTTTTTCAGAGGAAAAAGCTAATAAAATAAAAATTAATATAAGATATTCATTCTTCAGTTCTAAAATCAAAGTGGCACAGCTATTGGATATAGATGTTAATTTTCATTGAGAACCAAACTTAACATCAGATATTCAATAAGGGTTAGGGTTTTCAAATCAAAAGCCCTAATGTAAATGAAGTTTAGAGTTAGAAACAAACCTGAGCTACAGAAAATATCTCTTGGAAATATTCGATTAGAATGGAAGAAACTCTAGTTCTTGACGTCAAGAGAGTGAGAGGTTATGAAGAAAGATGTCTACACTGAGAGAACGGTGGCCCCGACGCCGACGGGGCTGGTGGTCTTCGGCAATGGCTGAAGCTTCGGCTATGGTGGGAGAGAGGAGGGAGGAGAGAAGAGCAAGAGCAAGAGCATGAGCCAGAGAGGGAGGCCAACTGACTTCGGGACTGTTGGACTACTCTGCTACTTTGCTTTGTTTGGTAACCGGTTACACCGGTTGCCTAATTTGAGAGTCAAATTATTTAAATAACTTAGTTATGACCTGGTTATGAAGTAATATGGTATAAGTAAATAATTGAATATAACTAAGTTATGAGTTAATATGATGGTAGTTATGACTAATATGGTATTGGTTATGATACAAAATCATATAAGTTCATAACTAAATGTATGGTACATCTAAATGTACCATAGCATCACCCACAAGTAATAACGATTACAAACTATACCCAAGAGACCCACTACCACTGCAACGCCTATAAACCTATCTATTAATCCTAAATAGGTAATTCCAACTTAAAAACAAAATTAAATCTAAAACAATTACGACGATGACATTCATTATGTCCCCTTCTCTTTCTGTATTATGACTAATATGGTATTCGTTATGATACAAAATCATATAAGTTCATAACTAAATGTATGGTACATCTAAATGTACCATAGCATCACCCATCAAATACATAATCACAATCATAATTAAGATTAATTAATATAACACAGAGCAGGTTATCACAATGGTAGCGATACAAAGCTTGCAAAACAAACAAAAAGGAACCCCTATGTACAGGGTAACTGTAGCAATTTCATTTACATTATGTTTGAAACTCAGATATTTAAGACAAAAATAAATAAATAAATTACTTGTGCCCATTCATTTTCTTATGGATAACCAACCACCCAAAAAAAAAAGTTTAAAAATACAAATGCCTATTCATTCCCAAGCAAACAAAATGTAAGCTTCTTTCATTTCGTTTTTTCTTTACGCTTTACAAATGCAAGAAATAAACAGAGCATTAAAATTTTAAAATTTGCTCTGCCACTATATACAGCCAAATAGTAAATATAAAAGGAGTGGACAAAGACCTCTTCTTCTGATCAACATGTAACAACAATTGTTTGAGTCTAGTGGTAATCTCTTCAAAATCTCTCTCTTCAGTGTCGATTCCAAGAAAAAAAAAAGCCACTCACTCTGATTGTTTTCAGTTTTCAGAATTCACTTTCTAGAAAATTCTATTTTTTTGTTTTCTATATATTTTTTATTTTCACTAAATTTTTTTAATACTTTAAGCATTTTTTTTAATTTTCAAACACACCACCTAACATAAATACACTTAGAAATTATAATATTTGCGAAAAAAATCTTTAAAAAATTCATTGAATACCAAAAATATTATATTTATTCACAAATAATTTACTATTTAGATACATCTAAATAAGATACATCTAAAAAAGTAAAAAACTGTTTAAAATTTAAAAAAAATTTACTAAAAATAAAAAAATACGAAGAATAAAAACTCAATTTTCAAAAAATTGAATTCAAAAAACTGAAACCAAACACTCATTGCAACTCAAGATTAAAGCTAAAACTTGTTGTCTGCTTTGTCCCAAATCTCATATAGCAGCCAAACTTTTCTCATCTGATGCGAGCAAGATTAGCAAATGGCTCTGGGTTCGACTTAGGAGCAGCAGGCTTTACCAATTCAGGAGTCCCGAACACGTTCCAGAGTCTTAATGTCTCATCTGCAGCTGCAGATGCCACCGTGTACCCATCTGGGCTCTAACAACATCAAAAAGGAAATTAAACAAATTTAGAAAAAAAATAAAACAGTAATTCAAACAGCACATGTACAGGTTTCTCTAATACCTGAGCCATATAGAGAACTCTTGAAGTATGACCATAAAGCTGTGCAATCTTCACCATAGAAGGGTACTTCCAAAGGATGAGTTGGTTATCAGTGAATCCATGAGAGCTCAAAAGCTCCCGCTCATGCTTGCTCCAAAGCAAGCAACAGACTTGCGAACCTGCATCAACTGAGTTCAAGCACGCACCAGTGTGGGTGTTCCAAAACTTTATGCACTGATCTCCTACACCGCCACCAGAGGCAAGCAGATTACTCTGGAAAGGACACCACGAGAGAGCTTTCACAGCAGCTGTGTGGTCTGTCAGGCGGTGGAGCCATTGGTTGGAAGAACTATTAGAGGCCATTGAGATATTCCATAGATAGATGAGATTGTCGTTACCTCCACTTGCTAGTTGTTGGCCTGTTGTTGACCATTTTAGTCCACAAACCTCTTGAGTGTGTCCCCTATATGTTCCAACTATGTTTGATCTTATTCTTACATCATTGTTTATGATCAAACTGTCCATTCCACCAGTTGTCAAGATGTGATTGTTCCAATCAAGTGAACCAACCCTTGATCTGTGCCCGTCTATCAGTGTTCTCAACTGTTCAAAAAGGAAATCAAATTACACAAAATTAACTAGATGAGATCAAACATCTACAAAATAGAGGGAAAATGACCAAATTTTTGGGAAAGCACATACCAGACGACTGGCCAAAGAGTCCCACAGTTGGATGTGGGAATTATTCAAGCCAACAGCAAGGTGCCTTCCATCCGGTGCCCATCTTATACTCGTCACAGGCCCAATCTCCTCATCAACGGCAACAAGTTCAGTAATAGACCCATCAGTGGCATCCCACAAATATACCAAATTGCCAAGGGCTATTGCAAGAATGTTGTCACTGCCCCAATCCAGCAAATTTAAATAGAAGTCATCCATGAGCTCGGGAGCATCAAGAATCCTTTCTGAAGACTGCCATACCAGACAAACAGACAGAATTAAGAAAGTGATCAATCGAAAGATACAATTTGTTTTTAAAACTTCAAATTCATCAACAAAGAGCTTAGCAACAAAAATGGGGAAAAGTCACAAGGAAAGAAAGAAAAAAACCCACTTGAGGAATGCATCTCCTATGCTTGGTGGGTTTGGATTGGTGAACAGATGAAATGGGCTCCTGAACAGTGTCTGCTGAAGGTGGCGGCTTGTCCTTAAAAGCAAGTATCCGTGTTCTGTTCATGTTGAAAATCTCTGCAAGCTGCTTCCTGTAGGCTTCTTTGGATGGAGAGCACGGAGATGGATTTTCCTTTCCTACCTTCCCACCAGTGAGCATGAAATGCGCAAAATCAAAATCCATTGCAGACCGGTTAGGGATAAACCTGTCCAGCTGCCATTTTGAAAAAGAAAAAAATTCAAGATGAATTCTCAGGAAAACTTGAAAAATGAGTACTAGTTGAAGGGAAAATGTGAACCTCACAAATCAAGTGTCAAATTAATAAAAAATAAAATAAATCAATAAAAAGAGCTCATGCTATAGGTTGGAGAGACAAAAGAAATGGATGGAAATTATAAGAAACCACAGAGGGTAGAAAAAGAAACAATTACAATCCCCTAACAAATTATTATTCATTCCAAATAAAATAATAGTAGAAAAAGAAATGGAATGTGCTTCTCTTGCTGATCACCAAAACAAAAAACTAACCCTATATACAGAAAAATCCAATCCAAGAAAACAGAAAATCAAAACAAACAAACAGATACTTGGGAAAAGAAAATCAAAATTACATGACAATTCATAATCAAATAAACAAATAAATAAAAATATTGAAGCAAAAGAAACCCTAATTCACACGAACACTATAGCTTTGCATAAACATAAACCAAAAAAAATAAAAATCAAAGAAGAATATGAAGAAGGTTAATCTTTCTCTTCATGAAAGGGTATTCTAAATCCAAGAAAATTTACAAATACATAAACCACAAAACCCAGAAAAGGCAAGAATACTACAACGAAACCAGAAAGAATTTTGAAAGTAGACTTCAAGAAAGCAAATTTTCTTTTCATTCCCACAAATTTTCTCAGCAACCAAACAGGGGTTTAACGTTTATACATACATTTTCAGAAGAAATTTTCCTCTTACGATTCCGTTCCGAGAGTGGATGCGACCGCGCTTAATATCGCATTCAGAATCAATAATTATCTAGTATCAGACATTAAACACCAAAGATCTCCAAAAAGAATTGAAAAAAGAAGACAAAAACAAGAAAACCCTAAAATGAAGAACAAAAATTTATGAATGAATAGCAAATTCAAAGAAAAGTAAAAAAAGGGCCAAAGAGAGTGTTAATGGCGCTCTGCGAGTGAGAGAGATCGTTCAGAGAGAGAGTTGAGAGCGATGAGAGAGAGTGGTTTTTTTGCTTGTGAAATATTTGATTTGAATTGAAGAAATCTCTTAACGGCTATATATGTTACAGGACGGTTTGATTGAAGAGCTACCTTATTTTTGGCGGCGAACTAGGCTTGGTTTGGGAAGTAGGTTGGCTTTTTGGTTTTTTGGCTTTTTTGGTTATTTTAGTCTGGGTTAAAAAGCTTGGTTTGGGAAGGGCTTTTTGACTTTTTTGACTTTTTTTGTGAGAGAAGAATGTAATGATTATAGGTTGGATGTGATGTTTTTTTTGTTATGGCTAAAATAGCCTATTTTATTTTTTGTGGCTAAAATAGCCAAAAAAGCCTGAAAACCATCTTGCCAAACAGAGGCTTAACCTTAACAAGATAATTAATTAATGATTAAAAAAAATGAAAAGTGAAAAGTGAATAATTTATAATTTATAATTTTTTCTTTTTTGTCAAATATTTAAGATTCAAACACATCAATAATGCCAAAATCTTTTCATTGCTATGTGACTCCATTTCAAATTATTTACAGATATTAAATCATGTCTGAGCTCAGAAATTTTCACATAATTTGGGTATTACGTGAGTGTTTTGAAATAAGTAGTAAAAGAAAAATTTTAAAGGAATGCTACATGCAAGTCAGAGTCGAGAAAAAAATTACCAATATATAAAGGATGGTGACACTTGCACACCATAGCATTTCATTTACACCTCACCACAGACATTTACATTCTATATGTTTACAATTTTTTTTCCCAACTCCTATCTGCATATAATTCCCCTCAAATTTTAATCCCAGTCTCTTTCCCCTAGGTAAAACTATTACTTTGGTGGTGATAAATAAAATAAAAAAAATTCTACCTCATTCTTTTTTTTTTCTTGTTTATTATTATTTTTCTTTCCCTCTCTTTACAAATTTAAGATTTTAAAAAAAAAATATTAAATTTTGGTATGTACTAAAATAAATAAATACCTTAGCTTTTGGAGATCTATCAAACATTAAAATAGGTGCATGTTTTTTTAACAAAAAGAAAGTTACTAGTGCATAAAAATTTCATAAAATATTTGAAAAGGTGGAATTCACAGCTTCAAATTAAAATTGGAAATTCTCAAATAATAAATTTTGACATGTAGTAAAAATGTATTTACGCATAACATCACTCCATTGATATTATTAAAGTTTGAATTTGTATATATTTTGAGATTATTTACACCAAGATCTTCTTCTTTAGTAATAAATATTATTTTATTCTCTACATCAATTATAGAAAATCATACAAATGTCACCTTCTAAAGGATAGAATTGATGCTTTTTTTATAATTTTTTTATTTTTAATTTATAGATGATGCATTTTTATGATTGAAGGAATTAAAATATAATGACCACTAATAATGAAAAGGATCTTAGTGTAATTTACCCTTCATTTTTTGAAGTAATGTTGGTTTAACTAGAATGAACGTGGAATGAAATTATAATTCTATCAGAATGTTTCTCGTCTCACATTTGATTCATACACAAAGTGTATATATATATAGTACATTACAAATAAAATTATCACTAACTATTATAAGAGAATAGTTATTTCATAAGGAAACTACAAAAATGACAATAATTTCACCACGTTCTAGTAAACTCCACACTGCATAATCATAAATTCTATCCATTTTCCTGCAGTTACTCAAAATATACATTTTGAAGAATTCAAATGCCAGGGACAAAAATTGTTGTTAAAGCATAAACATCACCAACCATGAGAGAGAGAGAAGGGGAAAAAAGTGAAAAATTATATGATTGTAAAGATTCAATCCAACCAATGGCAATACAGAGATGCAAACATACACATGAATTTCAGTTCTAAACAATTGAATTGTCAATGTGCTCATCACTAACAACCAATCATTTCAACATAGACAATCTTATTGCCGCTACAGTGAATTACTAAACGACTAAACATCAAGACTTTTTTTTCTCTCTTTTTTGATACATTGGCACCCAACATTTTAAGATCAAGGCAAAAAGAAACCATAATTTGAAGCAATTGATGCAAATAGCAGACATTGCAAGGACTAAGGAGACATTAAATGAAGGCGGCAAAATTCACTAATCACCCTTGCAAACGGTGTGGTGTAATTCCTAGTTATTTCTCAACTATCCAAAACATTAATATACTTTTCTAGCTCCAACATGCATTGCTATCCACCTACACTCGTGCGTTTTTTAATAATAATAATAATAATAATCAATCAGAACTTTTTCTTGTATCTTTGCATATTTCTTCCCTAAAACTAGCTGAGTTCACCTTAAAAATTTTACATAACTTAAAGAAAAAAGTTACAAGATGGAAAAAGAAATATCCTGAAATTCAGTATATTCATATTGGATTAATATAGGTAACTATAACAGTCTTATTCCGTCAAGAGATAGATACTCCTATTTTGACAATAATTTTTGATAAAAGATTTTCCGACCCAATGAAAGCAATCATTGGAGGAATTCAATCTAATTTGACTAATAGAGTGGTTTGGTTTAATGTTAGACCAAACTTCTTTATTTTCACAAATGATCTTAATCTTGAAAACACAGTTAGAATAAGAATTAAAACACAAGAATTATGAAAGAAATCAAATTCTCATGATCTGGCTATTCGTTGGAAAATAATTCATGAATTAATCAAATTTCCTAAAACAAAAACAAGATCAAACGATAATAAAATCGTTGAAATCTTTGAACCTAAACCATTTGACACGGTAATCCAACTGCGTCTAATGAATTGGAGTGATTTAGAAGTCCCTCGACAATAGTTAATCCAAGACCTAGTGAGACAAGAAGAATCTTCTAAAACAAAAAAAAATCATGCACAACTACAAATGCAAGCATCAGGAAAAAATTTATATATTGAAAATACAATTCTAAAAATATTTGAAAAAGATTTTCCTAACAAATCATTTTTCAAAATTAAGCATTAGAGAATCGAGTAATAATCCTAATCAAAAACGATTCCGCTACGTAGTTCGAAAGTCTTTGACTCGAAACGGCTCGGAAGTAAGTTCTACTCAACTTGGTGTTGTGCTGTAGCTATGTAGATACACCCACCTTTCATTTCATTTCAAAAAAAAAAAAAAAAAAGGAAGAAACAGAGCACCGTCTGGTCTGGTCGTAACCTAGCTTGTGCCGCCGCTACTGCTGTTTCATCGGAGTGGAAGAGACGGCAGTTTGTGTGCCGTAGAGCAATCGGAGTTGTGCTTGAGTTGTAGATAATGTATTTCCCCTTCAAACATTGCTCTGTAATCTGCTGTCATTGTGGATGCCATGGCTGCTAGTTAAGATGATTGTGACTGCCTTGGTTGCTCTTCCATTGCTCTATAATAAGATTATTCTTAAGATGATTGTGAAAATAACATAATGTTAAGGAAAATGATTGTGAAAACAAGAGGTACCCCAAAAAAATTAGATTCATTGTCTAATTTTAGTTGAAGATTTTTTTCAGATTCAATATTGCCATGACTGCTATTCCATTCCATTGCCATATTAGTTGAGGATTTTTTTCAGATTCATGGTCTACTATTATTATTATTATTTTTTATAAAAAAAATGGATTTATTTATTGTTTCATTTTGTTTAAGAACTTATATTTTGTTTATGAGGAGATCAAATGGTGAACTGATGTCATTGTCATGAAGCAAATTAAAAGTTTTTTCACTGTTTCACAAAAGGCATAGCTGCTCAATTAACATCTTACACAATAACCTGTTGAAAGACAAAGAAGGGGGTGAAAGACAAAGAAGGGATGAGAGAGATTGAGAGGTGAGAGTGCAGTCTTTTTTCTGGTTTCGAGAATATATTGAACAGAGGCGGAGGAGGGAAGAGCAAAGCAAAGGGAAAAGAAAAAATTAGAGAGGAGAGAGAAATTCATACTTTCGAGCCGTTTCGAGCCAAAGCCTTTGAAGCTACGCATCATTTTCCAATCAAGAATCTATTACTTAAAACAATGTTTAGATTCTTATTTTCTCAGGAACAAGAAGACAATCTGAACATATTAAGTCTGCATATATGTATTATTTTCAAACAAAAAATGATGATAGTATTTTTTTCTCCTAGCCAAGGAAAAAGAAGATACACATGTGTATTAAGAACATTTAATTTTGCAGGTTATAAATCCTATAGCCGCAGTGTTCTCATAGACACAGAAGCCACAATCAGCTCATGTAAATGTAAATGGAATGCCATATTAAAAGAAAAATGGACATTAATGAGGAAAAAGAAAAGGAGAACCTTCTTCAAACCTCCCTCATCATCATGGAAAGAATTTACATTATTGAGGTAATTGTGTTATCCTCTGTTTTTCATCTAAACATTTTTGCTATCTACCAATTGATCCAGTGAGTAGCACCAAACAGAAAACTCAATATCCATTGCACAAAATTTACATAGAAGAGAATGCATCCTTCACCAGATGTTTCTTATCGCTTGAGCTGAGGACTTCCATAACTATCTCTGACTTTTTCAAGTCCCCTCCTGCCAATTTCAGTACCAATCTTCCTACGCATGCATGAAACCTGGAAAACAAATAAAAATATATATAATTAGTCACAACGATGTGTAAAACAAAACATCATGCACAATATTTCTAATTCCATAAAGCAGTAGAACCTGTAACTCAGCAAGTGGACCAAGATGAAAACCGAAACTCAGTACAATTCAACATATTTGGTTGTTTTTCTGTTTTCTACATTTTTGTTTTTTGCTTTTGTTTTTCATGTTTTCAGAAGGAAAAAAAATGACATATGAAAAGTTTAAAAATACTCATCCTTTCATATTGTAATCATTTTTGTGAGAACATAGTTGTCTTGTCGAAAATCCAAAAAATCAAAAATAGTTTTCGGAAACAGTTTGCCAAACAAATTTTCTATGTTTTTTCTAGAAAATGAAACAGAAAACAAAAACATAACCAAACAGGCAAAATACTGTACATTCCATTATATATGCTTCCATAATCTAAACATCAACTGGTAATGTCAATGAAAAGGGGGGGAAAGAAAACATAAGCTCATCATTGTGATCCCTCAGAAATTATACATAAAAGTTCTGATGCTATTTTTCAAAAAGTACAATGTCAGCCTTTGACCTAGTCTTTCTTCTTACAAAAGTAAGGAACCACTTTGCATACTCATTTGGGTATGACTTCACAATATAATGAGTGCATAAAAATTTTGATCTTGAGCAATAATCTAATTCTTATTCAGAAAAGAGCCCGAGCATTAATTTTGAGAAAACAAGCTTGCAACCATCTATTGTACATGGCATTTGAAATGAGTTGCTTTGTCATATGATCAATGTTTGGATCCAATGAAATTGCAGTTATTCTGAGGAAGACTCTACAATCCCTAGTGAAAGAAAGAGAATAAAAGCTTCTAAAATAAATGGAATGTAAATTAAAAAAACATGCTTACTTTAATCCGATCTAGTCAATCCTCAGCTGCATGCAATCTTCTAAGATCAGGATGCCCAAATCTTGAAGCTGCAAAACCATATGATGCAACAACTGCAACGAGCACGCCAAACACATTTGCAAATAGCTGGAAGTTAGCAAGCAACTCGCCTCGGACTTGATGGTTCATTAAATGACATAAGATAAAATCCCCCTTGAGTCGGCAACCAGTTGGCATCATTGGGCCATAGAGAGTGAATGCAGTCTGATAAAACCAGAGGCCTTGTAGTGTTATAGCAATTCCACTACACAAATCAACAGGGAAGCTGGTTGGGAATAGCGCTCCAGCAACAGTTGATAAAACGCATAGTGATATTAGGAGGACAAGGATGAGGTGGTAGTATCCCTCAAGGCCCATGTGGGTAGTTGAATGGAAGTAGAATAGAAGATACTCTGCACAGAAAGCTGTGGCAGCAATCAGGCACAAAGCTCCTTCTGGCAAGGGAAGAAAGCTGGACAAGAGAAAGATAGTATTATGTTAGCATCACGTTTGAAAACAAAGACACATTATCACATAACGTTTTCATCTGTCAAAAGCTAAATCACATGACAATAATAGGTTTTCAACATAGCGGGTTGAACTTTTTAACAAAATTTGGTAGTTGGTTAATGGTATCAGAATATACTATCCTTGTAATAATGATTTGTATGTAGTTTTCTGCTACAAGTAACTTCATCGACGCACAGTAAACCTTCTTATTAACAATCAATGCCTCAGGGCTCATAAAAACCTCCCAAGGCACAGCCTAACTCTGGATACTCTAATATTTTGAGGCCTAAATGCCAAAGGGTAATGAAAAAAACAGCCCACTGGGCTGTCAAGGTAGAAATAATGCCAAATTTGTTAGAATCCCAATGCACTTTTCACATGTTCCCATACACCTTCTCTTTCTATACACTTTTTACATGTGCATCGAGACTAACGACCACACATTGGGCGGTCATTAGCATTTTCCAAATTGGAATCACCAAATTGAGAAGTAGATAGCTTGTGCTTACTTTAACACTTGCATCAGTGTGCACTTACACTTGGAGAAGTTAGAAGTCCTATAGATGTCATCTTAAAGATATCTAAAGTGACTCAAGCATATGGCCCATAATTTGTTCTCCACTTTTCTTTCCTAAATAATACAATATTCCAGTTCCAAAATAAACTGAAGAATGGAAAGTTCTTTCCATGCCTCTAGTCCTTAAACTTCAAAAGAGGGGGGAAAAATTGTTGTCAAAGATAGGTTTGCACTTAAAGAGCCCAATTTACTGAATGGTAGAAAGATTCAAGCCCCTACCACAAAAAGAAAGATTCAAGCCTAATCATTGCTACCTGAAAAAGGTACAGCAAATTTTTAGAAACTCAAATTTCAAATTTATTAGTTTTGAAAGTTACTTTCCTGAGCTTTATATGATCTTAAATTGAGGGAAAACATAAATATTCCCTCAGGTTTTTAAAAATTCATTGATACAAGGACTTGTTATGAAGTGCTTTGCATTCAAACTGGACATGAAAATAAATGTTTCTGCCTATAAACCAAACATGGAGATGCCAATGTGTTAAAGACCACATGTTAAATCCCTAGGAAAGCTAAGGAAAAATAACACATAGAATTGCCTAGAAAAAGTTCTCTGTTGGAACTGTTACACCTATAGCCCATCATAGAGTGTTTAAGCATCTTTAGTCAGTCCGATAAAAAGTTACATATCCCTCTTGGTCTCAGGCGGTAGGTATCACTTGTACTAAGGCCTATGATCAATTAAATTGTTCCTGATGCTGTGCGGTTGTGTAACTTTTTAAATCTAGATTGCCTATGGGTCACAGCCTAGTCTATGACTTCTGTAACTATAGTTTATAAGGAAAATATTGATTTCTTAAAATATTACAGAACTTGATTTCGTCAAATTCATCCAACAATTTATATGTAAGATTACCATGATTCTAGTCATGACTACCACTAATACTAGGACAGAGATACTACAAAATAATACAATTCTCAATAGGAACAAAATTAAATCATCATTTAAAATGAAGTTCCATTTGCTCCCCACAGGATTGCAGCATCTAGAGGAAATTTAAAGCACCATTTCCAGATTTTAGTGCTTTTTGGCAACTACGATTATTTTTAGAATAATAAAGTATTACACTGCAATCCAGTAGATGCACTGTTTCTTTGCAATGGTAAGCTGGATTGAAGACTACCAAAAAACCCCCATCAAACAAACCAAAAAGAATTCACAAAGGGGAAAGGAAATATCCAGTTCTCATCCAATTAAAGTGACAATTCACAACACCCTATCATTCCCTGTTCAATTTTCCTTGGTCTTCCACTTCACTACATAGCAAGAATGCAAAACAAATAGTTCTGTAATGGTATCATTAGCAAATCAGAAGTCAAAGTTTAGTTCTAGCAACCTCAAGAAAATAACCAAGTAAACAATCTTTTCCAATTCCACGAAAATTTAACAAGATTTCATTTAAAATTACACGAGGAAAAGGCTAGAATATCAAAGAAGAGAAAGACTGACCTGGTTTTCTCTGAGAGTAGACTGATGACACCAAAGATGAAGAACATGATAAGCATTCCAGAGTGCTCAAAATTGTTCATGTAAACGGAGTTCAATACACCATGAACAAAGAATTTGAGGCGGGTTGCTATCAGAAGCTCTACACACAAGTCGAGAAAACTGCCAATCACTATAAGGTATAACTCCAAGTACTTAAGCCTACCACCAAAACCCAGCACAGGACACCAAACCCTAACCCTAAATGACATGGGGTTTGATACGTATCGGACCACACAGCTCCATATGTGCCACACCCCAACTAGAAGAAACAATGTCCCTGGTAGAATATGCCCTATGAAAGACCCCATCTCTCTCAAAGTGATTCCACCAAACACATGGATGAATCTTCCCTCTGATATAGCTGCCAAGAATCAACCAAGCAACAAAACCAAGAAATGGGTTGTTTCCTAAATTACTGATAAGTACTATATTCTATGTTTATAATTAATTCTTCCCTGATATAGCTGCCTAGAATCAACCAAACAACAAAACCAAGAAATGGGTTTTTCCTGAATTACTTCTGATTGCTGAATCTCTTCAAGCTCACCCCCTTCTTTTCTTTTCTTTTTTGTCAAATCAAACCCTTTTAGTTCCTGTTCCAAAGAAAGTCGAGATTTCCATCAAATTACTCTGGGTAAAGAACTTTCAAAAAAATGGAATTTTGAATCAATGACAATAATCAAGTGAAGTTCCGTGCACTCTACCAAATTTCAGTTTAAAATGTATAAAATTATAGTTAAGTTCAGCAAGGTTCGAATAATTGGAAGCTTGGAAAATGACTTTTAGTGGCAATATCGTAAATGTCAAACAAACACAAATCTGTAGTACTTAAAATATAAAAACAATTCAAAATCAGATATTTGAACCCACCAAAAGCATGGACTGAGCAGTAGATATATATATATAGAATTTCCCTTCAAGTATACAGTAATGTACTTACATCTGTGACGGTGGCGAATAATTCTAATTTTCTAATGATTTAAGGGTACAAACGGCGAAGAGAGAGAGAGAGAGAGTTGTAAAGGTGAAGTGATTATTATGGAGGGTGGGTGGGGGATCAGATTCAGATCCCTATCTGTGTCTGTTTTAGAATACAAAAAAAGGAAAATGTTTCGGAGCTCTAGAGGAAGAGCTTTACAACGACTCTAATGACGTGGCAACAACTTTTTTCTACTCGCCCCTCTCTCTCTTTCTCATTCTATTTGATTTCAAAATTATTTACCTTCTCTCTCTCTCTCTCTTCGACCTCTCACTCCCCGACGATCGCAACTCTTCTCCAACCCCACCGGCCTGATGATCGACTCTCTCTCTCCGACCCTCTCTTTCTCCGACTAAGCCTCTCTGTCTCCCTCCATCCTCACTCCCGACGATTGACTCTCTCTCTTCTCGCTTCTCCTCATTCCCGCCGGCCCAACGATCGACTCTCTATTAGATGAAAAGACTCTCTCTGACCGAGCCGATCGACTCTCTATCTTCTCTTGCCAACCGAGTCTTTGTTCCGACGAGCGACCCGAACCAGTGACTCCAACCTAGAGGTATACAACTTACAAATTGATTTAGGGCTTGTATAGTCTTTGTTCCGACGAGCGACCCGAACCAGTGACTCCAACCTAGAGGTATACAACTTACAAATTGATTTAGGGCTTGTATGTATGCATCTGCATATGTATAACAATATAACTTACAAATTGATTTAGGCATTGTAATATAGAGTCTGTGTATATATAATTTACAAATTGATTTAGGGCTTATATGTATGTGTGTGTATATATAACTTACAAATTGATTTAGGACTTCTAATATAGTGTCTATATATACATAAGGAGCATTTGAACTGGGTTATTTATTCCTTTTGGTTTGGAGCACAAGATAAGGATCATTTGTTGCTATTTCATTTGGGTTTATTCATTTTTTCTCAAAGCAAAAATATTGATAAACCATGTTTTTACTTCAATCAATCTTAATTAATATGCTGGACAATCTACTTTGTTCAATCAACCCCAGTTCACATTTTTTATTTTTACAATTATGGTTGAATTTGAACAAATTAAAACAATACTGCTAGTTACATGAAGTTTGGTATTCTATTGTTTTGAAGCCCTATCATTTTTTTAATATTAAAAAAAAAATCAATTGTTGTAAGTAAATTAACTTGGATTGTTGCTTCTGTAACTGGTTTTACAGGAATTTTATATTTATGTAACTCATGAGACTTGTATGGTTTTAGTATGCCCCTGTTTTGTTTGAATCCCACTTGACAGGTTGATAATTACTTGACGGATTTTTTCTTCTTCTGATATACAAATGCTTGATCATGTTATGTTGTGGTGCTTACTTTTCTTTGTTGGCTTGTTCATAACCTTAATTGGGTGACTGGGTATGCTTGCTCGAACCTTTTGTTGATGCTAAAATTATCATTGGTGGTAGTGCTTTCTATTTGGCATGATTTATTTAACCAATGCCAATAAAGGAATCGAGTTTTCTTGTCGAGTTTTCAGATCAATTGACATATTGCAACAAAAACTGTCTTAAATGTCATAAAAAAACAACTATTTGAATTTTTAAGACGGAGCAAAACAAAAACATATTATTTTATTGTTGTCATGATTGCGGTAGTTTTATTAGATAGTGTTTGCCTACAAATTCACAATGTAGAGGTGAAGGAGAAATGCAAATGAAAATATGCCAACTATCACCAAGCAATTTCGATTTATAAGCAAACAACTTCAATTTCAAAGCAAACAACTTCAATTTTACATTGCGAAATTGTTTAAATTGGAAACACACATAAATTGAAGTTGGTGTCGTATTTATGGGCTCTTCATCTTGGTAGTACTGATTGCTTTTTTATTAATGCTGTCGATCCTATTAGTACCTCCTTATGTAGAACCGGTGTGAATCGGACTTTTTGTTGAACATGGTAAATTACTCCCATCACCGGATTCTTCTTTCATGACTCTTTCCTTGATTTCATCCAACCCACGGTCGATAATTTTGATTTTGCCTTCAGAGTTCCCAGCAACTTGTACAATGCCAATAAATTTTCTGTTCATCTTATCATAGACCTTTGCATTAAAATCATCCCCAAAGCCAGTGTATGTAGTTTTGATGCATGTGTACCCTCTATCTAAATCTTTTCTCCATCGTGGTAGAATGTATTTATTTGGAACCTCATTTATACATCTTGCAATAAGCACAACGAGCGAGTGAGCACACATAATGCCCCTAAATTGAAACAACCGACACATACATTGAACATCAAATTCAGTCGAATTATAATAGACAACAAAGTCCACATGCTTCATCTTCCCAAAAACTACAATGGCTTCCTTGACAAAATATGTACAAATTGAATCCTCGTCTTTCACAAGAAACGGCTGACAATAAACTAATCTGTTCATCTCTGCTTGAACTTCTTTGAATTTTGCATTGGTGTAGGCATCCTGAAATTGCTTCTCAAAACCATACACAGTTAGGCAATCAAACACTTTGTGTCGAGACTTAAAGTCAGCTTTCTTCTCTTTCTCTACTTTACTTCTCAAGGCATTGTCATATTGTTCAACAAATTGCTTTAATGTAGTCTTTGGGTTGACATATCCATCAAAAAAGGCATTCATGCTCTCACTTCGTTGTGTAGTTGATATACCAGCCCAAAAAATGTCTTTCACATAGACAGGAACCCATCGATGTCGCTCATTATATAATACCCCCAACCACTCATTCTCATAAAGATTGAATTCTGCAATCATCTCTTTCCATTTGGTCTCAAATTCATCTTTTGTGATAGTGTCATACACTGCATTTTGCAAAGCCAACTTTATGGATTCATATTGGGAATATCCTTTCAATTTTTCTGGAATTTTCTTCATTATATGCCATAAACACCATCGATGTCGAGTATTTGGAAAAACAATTTCTATAGCATTTTGCATAGCTTTGCACTGATCAGTTATTATAGCTTTTGGGGGATGATCTGACATGCAATTTAACAATGATTTGAATAGCCAAATAAATGTATCAGTGTCTTCACTACATAACAACCCACAACCAAGCAAAATCGACTGTCCATGATGGTTAACTCCTACAAACGAAACAAATGGCATATCATATTTGTTAGTGAGATAAGTTGTGTCAAATGAAACAACATCTCCAAATTCTTTATAAGCTGTCCGACTTATTGCATCTGCCCAAAACAAGTTTCTAATACAAAAGTCAGTATCAACGTCAATCATAGAATAGAAACTCGAATTTTGTGCTTGCATCCTCATAAAATATTTTTGAAGTGCATCGGAATCTCCTTCTTTAAGCCTCAATCTTCTAGTTCTGTCAATGTAATTCCTTGCATCTCGCTCATCAAATGTTAATGACTCATAACCCCCAGCTTCAACAACCATTGAGTGATAATTCCCTACTTGATCATTAACTTCTAATTTTCTCTTCACAGGAGTAAGAATTTTCTTATTCATTGCAAAATAACGTGAGTCGGTGGGAATCAAGTCATGATTATGCTCAAGGTTAACTGTGGTTAACATAAATCTCCCATCCTTTTGTAGACTCGCTCGCACCCTTGCTTTGCAACCAATTTTTGTAGACAAAGATGGCTTTAGAGGGTTTACTTCTGATTTTTTAGTTCTCTTTCCTGATCGAGAACATTCAATCCCAAAGTATCTTAATTCCCCATCATCGCCAAAAACTTGTGTTTTATGAGCTATAGAAAATCCAACATGTTTAGCATATTTGGCATAAAATGTGTACACTTCTTGCTTTGAGCTAAAACACATACCCCTCTTAGGTTCCTCAACTTCTTCACTCTCATTTAATAAAGGATTCTCACCACTTTTTGAATCAATCTCCATTTCTGCTCATTCAAAATTGAAACTGAAATCAAATGATTTTAATTCAATTACAGTAAAATTACAGTCTAAGTTATACAAATCATATTAACCAATTGACATATTACAGTATAAATTTATTTATATATCATTTTATGCTAGCTCTAGATATCAAAATATTCATCAATATTACAGTCTAAATATTCATCAACCTATGAATATTGTAAAATTGCCACCTATGATCTCATTTTGTGCTAGAACCTTTGAAATATTAATCTAGGTTCTCAGTTAATGTTTAAATCAATTACAGTCTAAATATTCATCTAGGTTATATCAAACTTTTTAAAAAAAAAAAAAGATATTTTTGGTGCTACAGTTGCCTTTTCTCTGTTTCTTCATCAACAATGCAAATCCTTACTGATAGATGTTACAGAGTTGGGGGATAGAGTTTACCTGAGGAGGGATTTCTGACGGAGGAGAGATCTGCAAACGACGAAGAGCGAAAGAGGGAAGACGGAGAGGGAGAAACGAAGATGCCGGTCGCCGGATGAGAGAGAATACGCCGGACGGTGGAGGAGGGAGAAGACGCCTGGCGGTGGAGGAGAGATCTGCAAATGGACTTCGAAGCCTCTGTTTCAGATTTGAGATGTTTTGTGCCGATTTTTCCATTTTTTTTTTTTTACATAGTGCGTGAGACGCACGCACTGTATATGCAAATGGATTTCAAATTTCCCTGTTGCCTTTAATTTTTTTAAAATCACGGTTAATTTCCACTGTTTTCAATTTCTGTACGCTGGTGATAAATATCATTTTTTTTATTTACTGCTATTTTTAGAGATAAATTTAAAAATTAAAAAATATATTTATTTTTTTAATTCAAAAAATATATTTAAATTGAAATTAAATATTTTTACAAATAATTTCATCTAATAATTAATAGAACTGTTAAAACAAAAAGTTATTCGAAATCAACTAGTATTCAACTTATTAAAAATTGATTTGAAATTCACTCGTTAGGTAAACAAATTAAACGTAAAATCGTTTAGTTTTTAATTCTAGTTGAACCTAATTCTCAACTTAGACCTTGTTTGAGAAGCGACTGTTTTAGTTAAAAAGTCAAAAAATTACTAAAAAAAATTTAAAAACCAACAACCCATACTAAAAAGTCAAATAGTTTTTTTTACATCACATTTTAGCTAAAAAGTTAAAAAATTACTAAAAAAACCTATTCCCAAACGAGGCCTTAATTTGGTTCATTTACAGCCGTATAAACTAGTTACACCCAATTTAACTTGTGCATAGAAATCTATAAAATTTTTAACTAAGGAAAAAAAATTAATTTGACACTTTAATGGGGGCGTTTGGTGCAGCTGTTAAAATGAATTATACCTAATAGATTATAGATTATAGATTTAATCAAAAGCTGTTAACCTGTTTGGTATAACTGTTAGGTTATAGATGCATAGAAATCTATAAAATTTTTAACTAAGGAAAAAAAATTAATTTGACACTTTAAAGGGGGCGTTTGGTGCAACTGTTAAAACGGATTATACCTTATAACTTAATAGATTATAGATTATAGATTTAATCAAAAGCTGTTAACCTGTTTGGTATAACTGTTAGGTTATAGATTTAAGTTGCTGAGTAGTGTTTGTTTAATAAGCTGTAAAATAGCTTTTTGTTATGTAATGTCCTTTTTACCCTTATTAGATATAAAAATTGTTAACCTATTTCATTTTCTTCATTTTTTTTATTACATGCCAATTAACTTCGCTTCTTACATATTAATTATTTAAAGATAAACCAACAAATTTTGTATAAAAAAATAAAATAAAATGGGAAAATTACACTCTTCTGTTGATAATATAAAAATTGTTAATTTTTTAATTTATTATTAATTCATTACAATTAATATTAATTAATAATATAAAAATTGTTAACTTTTTTTAATTTAATAATTCAGCACAAATACCAAACCCTACCGCCGGCAGCCCTAGCCACCGCCGGTCATGCCCTTTTTCTCCTCCTCTTAATCCCACACTCCAGCAGCTTTCTGCAAAACCGGAGTGAACACTGAGAGAGTTAGGGTTGATCGCGAAAAGAGAGAGAGAGAGAGGGGGGGAGATAGCGAGAGAGACAGCTACGGTTGATGGCGATCACGACGCCGGAGAGGAGAAGAAGGGTTTCAGATTCGCGAAGCCGGAGAGGAGGAGAAGAAGGGTTTCATCATCACGTCGTCGATCGCCACGCCATCCATCGTTACTCATGATGGTTTCAGATCGTGATGGGTTTCATAGCACAGCCAGAGAACAACGTCGGAGAGGGAGAGAGAGAGAGAGAGAGAGATTTGGTTCATAATGCCAAAAATCGCCTCTCTCACATGCCGAAAAATCGCCTACCTCGTCGGAAATCGCCACTCTCTCTCTCTCTCATAAATGAATGGTGATTTGTGGTTTATATAATGGCAATTTAGTAATACTTCAAATTAGTGAAGGGCATTTAAGTAATTTTGACATCCCTCCTCATAATTCAGTTGCGGAAGCTGCTCCAAGCTGCTTTTGATTTTCAACTTTTTTATGTAAGAAAAAATCTATAAAAGCTTAAGTTGTTGGCTTGAAATTTAACCAAACACTCTATAGTAGCTTTTTAGAAGTCAGAAGCTATAATATGTTCAAATTAAGCCAGACCAAACACCACCAACACAAATCAAAATAACACAACACGATAACATGAAAAAATAAAAAAAAATTAAATTAATATTACAAAAAAATTACATGTAAAACGAAAATGCTATGAAAAAATTCTTACCAACAAAACTATTTAAAAAAAAAATACAAAACAAAAAAAGATTGATTATAAGGGACAATCGCAGAAAATGACATTAATAATAAAAAATATATTACAAATTGGTAAATGTACAAACATTTTATGCATTAAATTGTGCAAAAAATGATTGTTTTAGAAATATGGTTTAAAGTTAACTTTTTGATTTTTTTTTTAATTTTTTTGAAAAAATATATAAAAATTATAAGAAATGATGTAAGTCAAAAATAGATTAAAAGTCGAAGAATGACATTTAATCCACTTCTCAACAGAGTCCAAAGTCTTTTACTTGCATCACTTAATAACGGTTGGTAAAATTTTCTAAATATAATTTAAAAATATAATTTTATTTTGAGTTTATAAATTTTAAAATTATAATTTAAGTGTGAAAAATTTATTTGGTAAATGAATTTTGAAAACAATTTTGAATTGAATGAGAAATTTTTGATATAACATAAGATATTTGATACAAAAACTTACAATTTTTAACTAAACATACAATTCAAAATTCTATCCAAATGTCATAAAAAATAACATGTGACAATTGTAAAAAAATATTAAAAAAATGCACTATTCTAATCAACTAGCCAAACGTCCTCCCAAATTTTCCGACCTTAAACAAAATTTTCCTAAGTGTAAAATTAATTTTTAAAAACTATAAACAAACACCATGTGCAAACCAAAAAATGAAACTAAAATTCCCAAACTCTTACAAACAGAGCCTTTTACTTTCATCACTTAATTATTTTCTATTGTTGCCATTTCTATACAATTGTCCTTTAAATTTAACTAAAGATTTGACAAATACAATTTTTGTCAAAAACTCAATAGTTTACCCTACCAGAGTTCACCATTTCTATAAACCAAAATCAAAGCTAGAAATTCTATAAAATAAAAAAAAAAATCTACAAATTACAAAAACTTAACAATACTAAAATAACTACAAAAATTAAATTATACCAATAATCAATGAGAAAAAGTTCGGTTAATCTGACATGCATAAAGTAGTTGGACAGAATACTTGCATCTTCCTCCAACAAAATACTGCACATCCCCAAAAACTGAATGAAAATTTTGGTGCATAAATAAGTTGCCAAGTCAGGAATCAGCCAAAACAAGGCACATTCACAAGTCTACTATTTTCCACAAAACCTGCACTTGGGACCATTTTCAACATCAATATTTAATTTTAAGTGCCCACATGCAAACTTTAAATAGGTAGATCTGAAAATAAGGTTTAGTTTAGTCAGTAGAAGTCTGATAGTCTACAGCTAAAGCACACAACCAAAGACCTTACATATACATATTACATCTAAATAAGCAACTAAAAATGCTCAAAATATATGTAACCAAAAAGTTGAAAATACAGCACACGCTTGCTGTATACTGAACCCTCAAACCAGCACTTTCCCGGGTTAAAATTCTCTAACATAATCAACCACTTGTAGTTGATTTGAAGTGAAATTCATCAATAGTGGAGTATATCAAGCCTTCCTCTTCAAGAGTTCTGATTGATTCCCTGGCAAGACAAAAGAACAATAAAAAAACATTAATTGAGTGCACAATCGGGCATGTGCACAAGAGAGAGAGAGAGAGGGGGGGCATCTAAAAAAGTAAAAAAATATTTAAAATTTTAAAAATATTTACTAAAAACAAAACAACATGAAAACTAAAAAAGTCAATTTTCAAAAAATTTAATCCAGAAAACTCAAACCAAGCACACTGAATACCATTTCTTTTGTTTTCTCTGTTATCTATTCAAACAAAAAGGAAACAAATCACAACATTTTCTTTTACCAAATCATTCTTTTATTTTCTCTCACAAATTACCAAACATAGTGAAAAAGCAAATGCTACTGCAAATTATTGGTGGTGTTTGGGAAGCAAGTTCCCAAATTTTTTTCTCATTTTTTCCACTAAAAGACAAAAGTTTTGCAAAACCAAAAAAAACACATCCAAACAAAATATCACATCTAACCCCATAATCATTTCACTTTTTCTCTCACAAACATCACATCCAACCACATAAAAACCCAACTATCTTCCCAAACACCAAAAATTTTTTATCTCATAAAAACCTACATCTAATAAAATCTACATAAAAACTCACTTCCCAAACACCATCAATGTCATAGTTGAATGCAAGAAAAACAAAGATGTTTAAATTGATGTTTAAGACTGGTAACACTGGCCACAGTAATCATGAAACATGCAGATAGTTAACAGAAAATAACTACTCACAAGTTTGACGGTTTCTGCAGGTAATCAAGCACCATCTGATCAAAGCCCTTGAGTCCATCTACACTACATTGCCCAGAGAACTAGAGAGGAAATAAACAGAATATTTTGGTGTCATGTATGCACATTAACAAAAATGTCATAAAATGAAATTAATTTTCCTATATGAATCCCATACAAGATTTGTTGGGGTTGTCTGATATCCATTTGATCCGTCCTGTGCAGCTGTTTTCACAGATGGGATTGCAGACTGAGGCTGGGTTGTGGTGTTACCTTGTAGCTTTAAGCAAAATAAAGCCAATCAGCTATACAAGACCGCAGGATGCATTTGAACACAAGTATAGTGCACATTTGGTTTTTTCAGAAAACTCAAAGAACACAATAGTACCAAATATTGATACCTTTGTTTTGGAATTTTGCAAATGGAAATGTATGCACTCAATGAAGTGGAAGGAAATCTCATCAAAATTTGTCACAGGCCTGAAATGAGTGCATAGCTGTTAAAACTACTGATTTGTAACAATAAAAGATAAAGTACACAAAAAAATGGAAATAACTATATATTTCTAGAATATCATTTTCCAGAATTATACTTGTCTATATTATTCTATCAATTTGCCTGTCCATCAAAACCATCATAAATAACAGCTTTACATCTACACTGCTAGACGAAAGCTCAGTAAAAAAGAAATCAAAAAGATAATTGGGTAAATAGTTGACAGCCAAAGTGGTATGTCAGATACATAAGAACATTCAGAAACAAATCTGCACTTGAAAACCATAGACCATAGAAACGAAAGTTATATGTGCTCCTAACCTTGTCCCCAAGAGGCTCCAACAAACAAACCAAAGATAAGAATATCTCAAACTTTTTCAATTTGGAAAATAACAGAAAAAATGAAGGGCATATATATATAATTAATGTTTACTTCACAATGATCACAATCTTCCTATACAATCTACATTGTTTTCAAATAATACTTTCAACTTTCAATATCTGTTGGGTATAAAAAGTATGAGCATTAATGGATGTTCAATATTCCAAATGTATTAAAATTTTGGCTGTCCTATTGTAATTTATATTGTCATTTTTCTAGTTAGTTATTTGAGCATGTAATCTTACCCCTTGAACATATTTATCTTAACAATATGATATATAATTTTGAAATATAATTCTGTTTACACTTAATTGACACTGAAATTGCTATCAATGTAGTTCTGAAAACATGTAATGCATTCATTTCCAGTGAGAAAATAAGCATAGCAGAATAATTTCATATGTTGTACGAGCTTTTTGTTTTTTGCAGTATAACCTTGGAACCTCCCTCTCTTAATGGTGAAAATCTACTGTAATCTGTAAGACCATAGGCCAACATAATAAGAATCCAACACTATTTTACGTAATTACTGACTGCAAGGCATACAACTCTTTTTCTCATGTGGCAATTGTTATTCAAATTCTACCACAAGGAGAAAAATTCATAAACTTCATCAACCCAAGCACAAATTAAGAGAGAGGGTGAGAGAAAGATGAGATGATTAACCATTCAATCTATTATGGTAACTTCGTCTGCACATAAAATACTAGCATTGTCAAAATAATAAATTTCAGGTTCACTGCCAATAATATCTTGCTGGTATGCGCTACATAAATATACAGCAATATGACAAATAAACCAATAATATATACTTGATAAACATAACACGTTCAAACACAAGTAGTGTCATATTTGTTGTCAACATCTATAAAATCTGCAATGTAAAATGAAAAGCACTGAAACAATCAATAAATCCACAGAACTATACAGGCTATAGTTTTACAGACTTCAATGGCAATTGGATAAATCAGTCAAATATCTAATATTTCAAAATTATAGTTTTTGTCATTATACACAGAAAATGGAAAGATCAGACAATTTATGCCAGCTGACCTGGACATCTAACACTGAACAAATAGTGGTTAGCCAATGCCTGTATAATCTATGGACATGTTTGATTGGAAGGATTAAAGCATGGGATTAGGATTATTAATCCGTGGGCCCAATCATCCTATATTTGTTTTGACATTTTTGTTTAGGACTATTAATCCAATGGATAATTAATCCAACAAATTTGTAGGATTATTAGTAATGGGGTAGGGGTGGGATAGTTAATACTACACTAATTTGATAGGATTATTAATACCTCACTATTAGTATTGTGAATCAAACATGGACTATATGTACTTAAAGCAAAAAACAAGTTTACAAGCCCGACTCACAGGCATTGAGGATAATCATTTCTATCAACTTTTATACAAAGTATGACGAAATTATACACCTAGTAGTTGTCAACACCGACCACAGAATAAATAAACTTTTGTGGGTTATAGTTGTAAACTTATACTCACATTAAAGCATGGAAAATATAAATTAAATCAATAATACATCAAAAATAAAGTTATAACTTGTAATAATCACAAGTATACACATCAAAAATAAAGTTAAAACTTGTAAACGAGGAACCCCTGAGCCATATTCTTCTGTCCATATGTCTTAATTTATCTTAATCCAGCATCCAATAAAAAAAGGGGAGGGAAAAAAAGGAAAAAATGACAAGCATAAAAACCATACTTTGACAATCAGAGATGGGATTATTTTACCTAACAGAAAAGGCAATTAATTGCCTTCTGCCTTGAAGACTTTTTATGAGCCCATTGACACGAACATATATTCCATCTCTGCCCAAAGATAGACAAGAACAGTCAAGATCAAAATACATACAATTTCTCTCTATATCAATTTGTTTTTACAACCTACAAGATTGGAAACTTACTGTATGTTTTCCATTTCCTTCGAATCAAAAGCTTCGTTAACCCTAATGAGAAATAAACATTCATCAATGTATGCTTTCTTTACAACCCTTTTGGATCGGACTCTGGATCTTATAGAAATTGCAAAATACACAAATATATTTCAAACACCAAAACCCAAATAGGTACCATCGGTTACAATCAATTCGCCCTGTTCCATCGTCGAGAGTGAAAGCAACATCAGTAACCCTTTCAGTCTTTTTAGACACCATACCAATCAGTGTAACCTGAAACACCAACAAATCCAAAAAAAACCTGAATTGTTTTTCGAGAAAAAAAATCCCGGAAAAAACAGATTCAGAATTAGAAAGAATATTTGCTAGATTCTATACATTGACTACGTCGACTCCATCAACGACGTAATTGGATTTTTCGTCGCCAGAGTGAGCGGATTCGCTTATCTGCTTCACTGTAATCGGAACTACTCCGTAAGCGTTACGACTCTGCGAGACAACGAAAAACGAAAATGTTAGGAAAAGGGGAACGCAGAAATCCACCGTTTGGCGGCTGAGAAAATGTAGGAAAATTAGAAAGAAGATAATTGAAATTATGGGTTTACTTTGGCGGGAGAAGAGCCGATATCGGTGGCCTGGGTTGACTGGGAAGACGTAAATCCACCGCCACTGAAGGCAGAGTTGCCATCAAACTGACTCGCGAACATTTCTTTCTGCTAACCCTAGAGAGAGAAAGTGCGAGAATTAGAGAGAAAGAGAGAGAGAGAGAGAGAGTGGAAAATTTACAAGTAGACGTGTTCGGAGTTTCCCGCCAATTTTCTTTGCGTTTCCCGCTTCGTTAGAGGGCGTGACCTCATATTCTGAGTTGGTTTTTTTTTTTTTTTTTTTTGACTTTTTAGTAGGGTTTGTGGTAAATTAAAAAAAAAATTGTATTTTTTTATTTACATACACTTATTTTTATTACATCAATTAACATTTATTAATATCTCTTTCTTGTTTTTTTAATTACTTTTTTATTTTTTTACATATTTTTAATAAAAAATCAAAAAATATAATTATTTAGAACATTCCAAACCACCCAGTATTTTTTTTTATTTTAAATTTCGTTTGGCAATTACATATTTTAATTAAAAAGTTAAAATATGATTATAAGTTGTCACATTATTTTTTTACTTTTTTACATATTTTAAAAAAAATCAAAAAGTTTTTAAAATAATTTATTCTAGTTTGGAATATGTGTTGATTTTTTTGACTTTTTTTACTTTTGTTAAAGAAAAAATAAAATAATTATGATTTAAATATGACATTTTGTTTTATATGACTAAAATAATTTATTTTATTTCATATAACTAAAATAGCCCAAATAACCCAAACAGGACCGATTTAGGCCTCCCTTGATCGCTTATTAATTTAGGCTTGGTTTGGTATAATTAAAGAATAATGCTTGGGACCCCCTTTTGGGGGTCACCCCCTCACCCCCTTGTCACGTGGCGGGTGGTGATTGGAGGAGTAGGAAAAAAAAAAAAAAAATATATAACCAATAAGAGAGAGAGGGGGTCAAAGGGATAGAAGAAAAATGGAGGATGAATCATTGTTGATAATTAAAAGAGTAAAGCTTTGTAGCTCAAATTTTTTGAGCCTAGAATTGCCCGAATTTCTATCTCCTCTCCATCTCTCTCGTAGACCCACCGTTCGGCCTCCTCTTCTTCCTCCAGATCTATTTTTTCAGAACAGAATCCATGTATAAATCAACAACTCTCCAAAACAAAGATAGAAATTGAAGAAATAAATAAATAAAAAAAAAATCAGAGAAAAGAAAGATAGAATTTGAAAAAATCAAATTTTGAGAAACCCAAATCCATTACTATGGTACTTTGTGGTATCAGAGTTTGGAACAACCTGAGAAGAGACTCCATTGTCTAGACCCACCAAGGTCTCCAAACCCACAGCCCCAAAATCCATCATGTAACTTCCACCAATCTCCTGAGATTTACAAAACAAGAGTTCATGAGAGAGAGAGAGAGTTACGCCATGAGAGGGAAGAGCTTGGTTTTGATTATGTGGGTTTGGTTTTGATTTTGTTTTGATTTGACATATGTTGTTGTGATTAAGAGATTTGTTTGTATGCTTGATTTAAACATGGGTTTTTATGCCACTCATCTCATTTCTGTGATTCATGAGACCCATTTGTTGAATGTTTGTTTGTATATATGAAAGAAGATGCGGGTTTTGGGAGCATCTCTGTTGGTTAGATATTGGTTCTCAAATGTTTGACAGAAAAGAGAGGAGGAAGGAAGAAGAAGGAGGAGAAAAGAAGAAAAGAAGAAAAAAACCAAAAACAAAAACGACGTCGTTTTTGCCTACTCGAGCCATTCAGGGCAACTACATTCGAGCTACCTAGCAAAACTCTAATTAAAAAAAATTAAAAAGTTACTACCTTATTTATGTCACATCATCTTATTTAAATCACATCATATCTATACAACATCACTTCAAATCCATCACATACTCAACTCATATTTCATAAAAATTTTAAAAATGTACTTATTTAGTTTATCCCAAACAACCCCTTATTTTAATTGTATCATTTCTTTATTTTATTTTTTTTAAAGTCAATAAGTTAATTTATTTTTTATTTTCCAAAACAAGCCTTCCCTTATCCTTCATCCCAAATAGGACTGTTTAAGGTTTGTTTACTTAGGATTGTTTTGGAAAATGGAAAATGCATCAAACCCCATTGGGGGTGACTCCCAATAGGGTCTGGTTGGTCAAATTTATTTATATTTATTTTTATTTATTTTTTTCAAGTATTGCGCACCCTTCGCGTGGGGTTGGGGGTGTTGGGGGTGCCCCCATTGGGATCCCCAGCAGGGCTGTTGAAAAATTAGTTAAAAATTTACTTTTTTTTATTTTTTAAAATATATATATAAAAAAGTTAAAAGATAATATGATTCAAAATATGTTAAGACATAGTTTGGGAAGTTGGTTTTGGTGGATTAGGGGTTAAAATAGCTACAAAAAATAAAATAGGCTATTTTAGCCACAAAAAATAAAACATCAAATCCAACCCATAATCATTACACTTTTTTCTCATAAAAAAAGTCAAAAAAGTCAAAAAGTCAAAAAACTCTTCCCAAACCAGGCTTTTTAGCCCCTAGCTAAAATAGCTAAAAAATCAAAAAGTTAAAAAGCTAACCCACTTCCCAAACAGAGGCTAAATGTTTCAAGATGACTTTTAACGATCTTCTCAAAATAGCACTTTGTGTACTTTTTTACTTTTATGATAAAATATGTTTAAAAAAAAAATAGAGATGTAATATGACTAAAATAAGTGTTTTAATCCAGGGGTGAGTGGCAACCTGGTAAGGGCCTGGGGTTTAAGCCCCTAGGTCCTGGGTTCAACTCCCCTCGGGGCCAATCTCTTTGGCGTAGTACAGTTGGTTAGGAGGTTGACCTCAATGATGCCTTATCAGCTACTTGGTGTGGGTTTAATTCTCTTCCGCTGTGTGAGTCCTGACTTAAGCGGAGCTTGCCTTGCGAGGTCAGGACAAGATTTCAGGTTATAGTCTCTTACTCGGAACGGACAACAGGACACCCTGGTGATCTCCTCAAGGGAGCGCTGCCTTGGACCTGCGGGAAAGTGGGAGGATTTTCCTGTAACAAAAAAAATAAAAAAAATAAGTGTTTCTATTTAAATCATTCCCAAATAAATCTGCTTGGTTATGAGTTTTTAAAAATAACTTTTTGATTTTTTGAGTTTTTTGCTTTTAAAATTTTGTTAATTTTAGTTTATATATAATTAAAAATAAAATATTTAAGGGAATTTACAACAACAACAAAATATACGGTTTGATCTTTAAAACAAAATAAATATATTTTTTATTTTTTAATTTAAAACTTAAGATTTAAATTTATTTTTAACTTAAATTTTTTGTTTTTTTTTTTTTTTTTGAAGAACTTAGTTGATCATATAAATGGAATATGATGGTTGTGATTATATTTTTTATTTTCATATAATTTTTTTTTAATGAAGATTGTTTTTGAGAATTTCAAAAATATATATTTTTGTGTATTTATTTTATTAAATTAATTTTTATATTTAAAAAATAATAATTTCAAAACATAGCAAAACATAATAATTACTTTTTGTTTAGTTTTATTTTTTATTAAATATATTTAATATTAGTCTCATTTTAAAGGAGTTTTGGTTACTCTCGGAGCCCAGATGGACACCGGCAGCAGAGAGAATCACACGCCAGACGTCTGGAGCACAAGTTAAGGGACCAAGACGCCGTCATCCGAAGAATGGCGGCGGAGATGGAAGATCTCAAACGGCACGTCAAAGGGAAGGGTGTTGCTGGAGTGGGAGACCACAGTGAGCGCACCCAACCATGCCGTTCAAGCAGTCAGAGCCAGCGGCACACTCCCTCCCTTTCTATCACCAGAAGTTACAGGGTTGGAGAGTCCAACGTGACTGAAAATAGGTCTAGCGCACAAGACAGTACCTATCAGCCTTCACGTCCGACGACGACGTCGAGATATTCCTATTCCGCTTGCTCAGAGGACTTGCGGGCAATCTTAAAGGAGCGGGCTCGTCGGCGAGAGACTCAGCGGGTGCTGGCGCTCCAGCAACTATCTTACAGGGGTCATGCCAGTGAAGAAGTCATAATGCCACCACCCCGCCCAGTTGTGCCCCACCTTCTAGACACAGATTTGGCGAGACTGAGTGCCACTTCATTTTCTAGAGAGATAAAAACAGCGCCGCTCCCCGCGGGCTTTCACCAGCCCAAGTTTACGCTCTACGACGGGAAGACCGATCCATACATGTATGTAAGCCACTTCCAACAGGTCATGGCCGAACATAGGCGAAATGACGCTCTTATTTGCCTAATTTTTCAGTTGAGTTTTGGCGAGCTGGGCTTGAAATGGTTTGAGAGGCTGCTGGAAGGAAGTATCGAAAGGTGGCAGCAGTTGGAGGAAGCCTTTGTAACTCATTTCAAGACAAACACTAAAACGCCGAAGGAAGTGGACCACATTCTCAGTGTCAAAATGGAGTCGAGTGACACACTCAAGGCATACAACTCCAGATATTGGGAAACCTTCAATGAGATTTTAGATTGCCCGATCAACCTGGCAATCACTCAATATAAGTGCAGTCTTCCGGTCGGACATAGATTGCGGGACTCGCTTACTATGAGTCAGCCGACATCCATGGGCCAACTAATGCAGTGCATCAACAAGCACATCCGGGTAGAGGATGATGCAGCAGCTTCCACCGCGAAGAAAACTTCGGTGGCAACAGACAAGAGGTCAGCTGGCAAGGTACACGCGGTCGGACAGGAGACTAATCGTCCAAATGATCGTACAGAGGACTCTGACCGAGGCTCAAATCGTCGAAACCGGGGAAGGGGTCATCGTAATGACTGAGATGACTACCCCCGTGATGATGTAGCTGATGCCAACAGAAGGTTGAAAGCTCGGACAGGCATCACCACGGCCTTTAAGATTCCAATCTATCGCATACTTAGTGAAATCCGTGACGAAGATTACATCCGGTTTCCTGCTAAGTTAGGCGACGCACAAAAGGGTTTCAATCGGCGGTACCGCTGCACATATCACCAGGAGCGAGGACACCGGACAGAGGACTGTTTGCCTCTGAAGCAGCACCTGGAGGAGTTAGTCGCCGCCGAACACTTGGATCTTTACATTGACGGGGGTGTTAAGGCCACACATCCCACCCCGGCTGATCAGCATGGACCGGATAACTTGGAGGCACCCCTTCAGGGAGTGGTTAATGTGATCCACAACATAGTGG